CTCTGTTTTCAAATCTCTTTCAGCATGACAATAAAAGACGTTTCTTTTAGCTTGAATATTTCAAAAAATGTCCACATGTTAAGTCACATTTAAACTTTGAAATGTTTATATTACATGAACAGTATTGGAAACTATAGTGGTGAATGTCTTCAACTCCTCCACCAAACATGCTTACAAAAAAACAACAATAGTATTAGGCACACTACTAAATGAAAAGGAAAGTAATCAACAAACTGAATGATGTACAGAAATCTATATGTACAGCTAAACAATATGGAAACAACAGAAAGAGAATTAACTAGGTTCAGTTGAGCTTCTGAATATTTGATATTTCCCTTTCTCTTATAAAGTCAAGTTTTCTCATTACCCTTAACTACAACAGCATTCTCAGTTCTTTTGTCAATGTACAATCCATCTTTCCTTTTGAGAGGCATTGATAGAACCTATCAATTGAAGTGACCATAAATCCTAAATTTAATTATTTACTTTTGTAAATACCATAATAGATCAAAAAATGTTAAACTAAAGATTGCTTTCCAAAACAGTTTTACTTTGCTATGGATTAAATAGCTGCACGGCATTTCGCTTAGGTTTTAAATAAATAAATAAGTCGTGAGCGCTTCTTTTTTTTTTTTTTTATGAGTCCGTGTGTGTTATTTTAGTCATCCTCTCTATCCTAGTGCACTAGACTGTTCTGAATTAAGGATTCATTTTTCACTGCTTTAAATACTTGGCAGATGAAACCAAATGCCAGCTGGATAATTCAGAAAAGATGAGCTGCTAAATAAGGAAAAAGAAGGGACACGCAAAGAGAATGAACTCACTTTGGTTGCTTCTGGTGCAGTAGGATGGCAGGGCATTACTCACTTGTGCCTCTGCTAAGCAGGGGCGTAAACCAGAGGTGGTGCGAAAACAAGAACAACAACAAAACATCAATAGGCAATTAAGAACAGGAGGCACTTGCAGTCTTGGTGGGAGGAAGGGTGTAACTATTCTCTCTGGGTTTCTCCACTATCTATCTCTGTGTTACATAACATTTTCATTGAGTTTTTAAAGCCAAGACAAGTGTTTGTTCATGGTCCAAACTGTTTGTATTTTACTTCATTTCACCACTGCTAAAAAGTGAGGCCAAATTAATATTTTATTTTTAAAATACTAACCCTTTTCTTATACCCCTACAGATTTGTGTAGGAAAGCATGTGAAGCGTAGGTGTTCCTTTCAAACCTTGCAATTTTTGCAGTGTGATTACATCAGCAGTAAGTATTATAATAGAGCCAATGTTCAGTCTTTCGCTGTTGTGTGTGCATAACATAATACATTGCTAAAAATTAGCTCTCTCCAACCAACAGCAGCAAAAAAAAATAAAATTGAGATTTGCTGAAAATAGTTTATAGGTTTGGGTTGCACAAAGGCTCAGTTACCTACCACCTAAAGATGTGGAAATTTGATTATAACAACAGCAGTTTATTCTTCTACATTGGATATCCATATCAATGTCATCTCATTTAAATGGGAAACATACAAACTTTGATCATGCATTCATTGGTTTTGTTGCAAACAATTCCTGAAATGTCAGATGTTTTCATTTTTGCATAAAAAATTTAATTTTATTGTGTATCATGACAAATCTAGAAATATGAAGCCGAAGAAGAAAAAATAAGATTTTATAGAGATAGCAAAATAGAATTATATATATATATATATATATATATATATATATATATATATATATATTATATATATATATATATATATATATATAAACAATACTTGCTGCATGACAGCATATATCTTTGCCAAAATATCTTCTATAGCCAATAAACTGAATGAGTTAATTTACTTCTAATCATTTTAAAGCACTTTTAAATCACAGCTATTATTCCACAGTACAATAAACATTGAATAAACAAAGGAACTGTTACTTAAGCTGTTTATTCTCAAGTAGGCACACATTTTCTCACATTCGGTATGTGATGTTGTGGTAACAGTGAATGATTTGTTAAACTGCACTGTGGTGGAGGCGATTTTATTTCTTTCCAAAATACTTCACTTATGAAAATATGTAATGAATTTAACATGCAAATTTGACTGTAAAAATTCAAGGCTTTTAAATGTTTGATTTAACCAACATTTGTAAGAAATTAATGCACATCTATACTGTAAGAAAGGGAACATTGTTACCATCATCTTTGGCAATCATCATAAGGCTGCACTTTGTCTGATTCCTCACATAGGACCCGTTTGCCCCAGGTGACCTTACCATGGTTACCTCAGTTGTCAGGAGCTTCATGCCCCTGATAAAAGCCCCAATGATCATTTGAACACTCAAACCCCTCCACAATGTATTTCAAGTGTTTTGGTCCATTTTAGCGCTGATTATTTCAAATGATTTATCCATGGTATTTTATATAATCTCAATGTAGATCAGTTTTATTTAGATTTGTAGTTTTTCATCGAGTAAACTTCCCTCTGCACGTAACCTTGAGGAGTTTTAATCCCGCTTTAAGCTTGATGTTTTTTTTTTAAGAGGACAACTTAATCACATTTTTAGCAACATCAATAGGTACTTAATTTGTTCTGTAGCACTTTTTTTTTTTTAGAATCTTCCTTGAAATGACTTTGCCAAACAAGCAATTCGAAGCACTAAGCTCCTCCTTACACAGCAAGTCATCTGTCTTTCCCATCAGTCAAGACCTTTCTGCTGCCTTTAGTCGTGAGCCCCTCCTCACAACATACAGTGCTCCCTCTAGTCCCACAGCTGGGGAAAGTGTGGCTTATTATTTCATTCTTTGTGACAGCCAGTGCACTAAAGTCAGTATACAGACATGACTGAGTGTGCTTAGGTGAACAGAGAATTGAGTTAAATTTGCTATGCCCTTCCAAAATGTATCACTTTTCTTCGACTGAATCCTTATTAAAACACAAAAGCCTTTTTTTGTTTCATTCAAATTAATGTTTGGCTTTAATGAAAAAATAAAATGTCAATTTCAATTAAAAAAAGAAAGGATTCAAAACGTGTAAGGCTTAACAGCAAGTCGTTCTTTAGTTCAGTTGTGGTATTTTTGTGGAAGCTAATTGGTTTTAAACGTGCTTTGCAAAAACAAGAATAACAGTCTGTTTATGCTTGACTTGAAGGCAGAGAACAGTATCAATGAGCAATAAACTACGCTTGGAAAACAGACTTTCTGTTTCCCAAGTGCAAAGAGTGAAAACTGTCTTTTAAGACAGTGTGTCTGCCCTTTATGCAAACGTGTGATAGGAGCGCAGGACTGTCACAAGCATGTCCTCAACTCTTGGACTGCTCGGCAGGTTTGAGCAACAGAGGGTCAAGCATCTGCTTATCACAGCCCTGCGCTTGCTGAACTGTGCGCAGAGAGATGAAATGCTCTCTTGATCATGCAGTTTCAAATGAAAACAAAGCTATGTGCCCTTATGGAGCTGAAATGTTTACTTTCCAAGATAGTTTACTGCCTGCTAATTTTCTTGTGAGTATTTGGATAACGTCTCCTTGTTTTGTTTATTTATTCATTTATTAATTTTTTTTTCATGTCCTACTTTTGACACTAATTAAACACTGCACTTTATCTTGCATCTCTCATTGTGTGAATTTGCATCATGACATGCAGATGTACAAACTCGATGATTTCTACAAGTACATGTGGGTGTTGGCAGTTAATGTTGATGTAGCATTTTTGGAAAAATTACATTTTGTGACTGGTGAATAATTTAATATTTTCCATTTCTATTGTTACTTTTTCATAACCCTTAAAAATTTAATAAAAAATTTGATGAACCTGGATGAATACAGAATGTAGGTTTCATGTTATGATGACTTCATCTATTATAGCAACCAAGTTATCCAAATAAAATTTTTGTTACCCATAACTAAACTTGATTACCTCCTGCTAAATCTGAAATTCAGTTAAATAAAACCTTTCTGATAACATGAAATATGCTAAAATATCTTACAAAGCAACACATCCTACCCAAACCTCTGCCACTGAGAGAAAGCTTGATGGATATGGCAAAACTGAATATTTTCCTTAATGTGTATGTGGACAAATTACGGAAAAAATAATGTATCCAAAACTTTGCCCACCTTCTAACTACCTCTTGTATAAAGAACAGGGCTCCTACAAAATTTACTTTCTTTTATTTAAATATATCTTTGGTCTAGATTTGAACTGCTGGAAAAATAAAAAGAAGCTTAGTAGGGTAAACAAAATGTGCATTTCAGCTGTGTATTTTTATTTTCATTTACATGTTTATGTACATAGGAGAAACACACAAAGCAAGCAGGAACAAATAATGAACAAGAAATATATAAATATGAACAAAACAACTGAGAACATTTGTAACTTTTACAGTGAAATTACTTCAAAGCAGTCATCACCATTAATGCATAGTGAATGCTAATTCCCCAAAGGCTTCACATCAGAGGAACATGGTAAGAATGTGTAGCGAGCTACCACCAGTGTGCTGGCACGGCAAGGCTCAGCTTTAATGGATGTGATTCACATGAGCGGATAAATCCCAGAGCACAGATGCTTTCCGAAAAATGCACCTTGCACCAGAATAGCACGTCCCAAGGTGGATCCATTTGTAAAATGATCTCAGAATTTATTTCATAGACGGCAACAAGAAAAGGCAGCTGAGATTCAGTGGTCACTTTTCATATTTGATCTTGTGATTGTTGATTTTCTTTATTTTGTATGCACATATTATTATAAACAGTATGTGCATCAATCAAAATGACTAAAACAATACTGTCATTGTCACAATACAGCTGAGCTTGAATACTTTCCTAATTGCAGTAGAATAGAACAAAAGATTTTGAGAGACTGCTTTCCAGGTGGAAAGGGATTATTCTCAGCTGCTTATGCATTCTTTTTAATAAGACATTACTTGCACATGTGTGTCCATAATTGCTTTGTGAAAACTTATGTAAAATGTTTCATACTGTGTTAGCTAAATCTTTTTTTTTTTTCTTCAATTCCAGGGAAGAGGCTTTGAAGTCTACGTACTTTGAGTCAGTACAGGACCTGTTGGCGTCCTTTGGACCTGTTCGTGACTGCTCCAAAGACAATGGTGGCTGCAAAAAAAATTTTAAGTGTGTATCTGATCGACAGATGGACTCCTCTGGTTGCATGGTAAGCTTGTTTCAAATAAAGAGCATTTACTTTCAGATTTACACAGAAATGGAACTGATTGGCTGTTCAGGACAGTCAGAACACCCAGCCCTTTTGGTTGAGTGTATTCCAGCTCCTGTTTTTTTTTTTTTTTTCAGCAGCTGTGTAAATTGCCAGCAATATTCTCATGGGTTCTTCAAGGTTAAAGAACTCATGAAGATTCACCTGAAATATTAAAACAATGCAACCGTTCTGTTACATACTCAGATTTTAGAGTGTAGGTCACACCGAGGAAACAGAAATTTCAAGGTCTCCTTGTCTTTAGCTACTTCTTCCATCCCCAGCCACTCTCTGGCCAGCTAAGTTATAATCCCTTTAGCGAGACCTGGCATGCCAATTAGACCCTTGACTGGAGATGCCCGGTGGGCATCCTTGTTAAATTTCAGATCCACCTGAACTGGTTCATCTTAATTTGGTTATCTTCTGAATTCCCAAAGACTTCCTCATCCATGTAAGGAGAAAGCAAATACTGTTTTACTCCCATATGAGTGTGCCCTTTAGTGCTGCCAAGTGCCCAGGGCTTGTCGCCAAAGGCAAAATTTTAGGAACAAAATTTAGGAACAGAGCCTTAAATCACGAGAGGAGCTTTATTTCTCAGTGGTACAGTAGAATTGTAATGTAAGAATTTTTTTGGAAACAATATATTGGGAGTGAATGTACTCATTAAAACTTTTTATATTACAAGCAGTGCTTTTAAAATTATGCATAATTCTTAAAGTCATTTCTATTCATACATAAATAAAGCTAAAGTGTTTTTCAGAACATCAAAAATGAAAATGAAATAACAAAGCATAAGTATCAAATGTTGTATAAAAAGAAAGGATAAATGTGTTTAAAACCTTTCTACAATTCAAAATCTTGAAGCTGTGGAGTAGATGTTTTCTGCAATTTTATACTAATATCCCAAAATAAAATCCAGTGTGACAAAGAATTCCTACAGAAATCATATGATCAGCAAAAAGACTCAACATGTCTGTAATTTCAAGGTTTTCAAAACTATGCTTCATATAGTTACAAGCCTGATGTTGAGAGTTTTATCTTTTCTGCCATTATCTGTTGGAATAGCAGCATCTGAACCAGAAGCTGTTTCTGTTAATTTAACAGTTTTGGAGCAAATTGAGATAATTAAGAATTCTTCAGAAAGCCAAAAATTGTGGAAAACTTTGCACTTTGTATTCATAAATCATGCTGATTATTCTTATGGCAAAAGCTTATGGCTGTAGGAGCCTCTGAGATCAGAGTTGTTATCATGCAGATTGCTAGAGGACATAATTCCTGGCTGCAGCCATAAGCATCTGTACGAACAACAAGAATTAACTTTCCTCTTGGATTAAGAAAATATTTTTGAATTGAATCAAATTTGAATTCAGGGTTAAGAATATGAATAGTGAGAGTTCAGCAAAAAGTAAATGGAAAACTAAACTATTTTATGTATAGTATTTTTCACATAAAGCAAGGTAAATATAAATTTCCAATGTTACACAATGCTTTACATTTAAATGTTCACTTCTAACCTCTTTTTTTTTAATTATTTTATGTATGTGGTTTCTTTGTTTTGTATAATAAGCAGACTTGCCGATTGCAACTGTTTTTTAAAAAGTCAGTTTGAGTATAAGTAGCACTGTATGTTAGTTATTCGATTAGACTAAAATGGTCATTAAAGATTGTTAAAAATGTGATTGAGATTTTTTGAAAAAGGATTTTTTTCAATTCTACCTATTTCTGATTTAGGTAATTGGATTTATTTTTATTTTTATTTTTTTAATTGCTTTGTGATCAACTATCTGTATTTTTGAGCACAAAGCCTCATAAAACTTAGTTTGACTTTGAATGTAACATTGAAAATGGCATTATACAGTGCATATGAGATTCAAACCTGGCATATTTTCAACTGAAGAGTGACTAAAAAACCTCAGGCTTTGCATAGTAGAGGGCAGGCCTGCATTGTAAAGTAATTAAATTGATGAGCCATCTTAATTACTGGAGGACAGTTCTCTGAGTCATTCAAAGCTTTGAAGCGGCTGTAAATCGATGAGGGTTCTGCTTGTTTGTGACGACTAAAGGCAAATAAAAGATCTTTTTTTTTTTTTGCTTCTGATTTACTAATATTCTTCACCAAAAAATTGATCCAACGTCTTGTTACTACATTCTCAAAGCTGTTTTGGAGATAACATTGGTAACTTTGCAGACCCACAGGTTACTTAGCCTTGACAGGCAATGACCGAAAATGATTAATAACAAGCAGATTTCCTCATGAGAGCCACATTCTAGAATGACTCATAGCTCGTATGATTTTTATACTTTTGAGTATCTTTGCCCTCATTTCCAAAGAGTCTACAAAACCAGTCCTGTCTCACTGTGAAGATTAATCAATAACCGTACAATTTAATGTGTGATAATCATAGTCATCATTTCTGAGAATCAACTGTATAAATTACTCAGATCCCTATTATAAAGTCTGCCCAGATTTTGTTGGCTCCCCTTCTTGTTTTTCTTTATCTCTGACTTTTTCTAGTAATTTGTTTCTGCTTTTTGTTCACACCACTGTTTTGTGAGCATCAGCTGGCTTTGTTTCAATTAATCATTGCTGACTTCTTACATTTACATGCATTTAAATTGGTAATGAACGAGACACTGGTATTGTTTATCTTAATCTTGTGGGGCTACAGCCTTGACTTTTTTAATAACCCTTAAGCTCAAGACAGAACTGACTATTTTGATAATTATAATAATAAAACAAAACACATGCAATACACGACCAGAGAAAATAATAATGTAATATGATAATATAACATGTAATCTCAAATATGGAGATAGAGTTTCTGTTTCTCTTCATTTTATTCAGGTATATGTTTTTACACTGTGGACTGCTTGTGCATGGGACTTGCATATTTTATCGCTTGTAAAAAAGGGATGCAGTGAACTTATACACCTGCCAGGTTGTTGTTGGAATCAATTGTTATCTTGGTTGTTTTGCAAATGTTAGATTTTTTTTTTTCGAAGGCAAAGGCTGCAGCTGAGGTTGTAAGATATTGAATAGAAGGTGTCTCTGCTGCAGTAGAGTGAACCTTCCCCATAAACCAAATTATGGTGGCGAAAAGGAAGGTTTATTTTTTTCTTCCAAAGAGGCCTTGGAAAGTTTTAGTTGTTTACCGTTTTCTTACAAAAGCCTTGGTAAAGTGAGTAAAAAGTATATGGATTGTTCATAATAATTCCTATCTAATCTGTACATAGACAAGACTTGGAAATGCAAAAGACAGAGCATTTAATAGTTTGTAAAAATGGTCTTTGTTGCTAAAATAAAAGTTTTTCACTAATTGCTGTTATAGAAAACAATAGAAGTTATTACAATATATATTTACTGCTTTTATATGTTACCGAAATAACTTCACAGTATGATGTTAAACAAAAGTGTTAAATGAAGATCCCTACTTGCTTTGGCAGATGGCTTTAGCTAATAAAAAGGCTTCTGTTACAATATGCCACTCTATTAGTCACACTCCCAATGACTTATAAACAGTATTCACTCAGAGACTAAATGAGTCCTAAATTTAAATGCACACTGCCAGCACCAAGCAGTATTAAAGTACTTTACCATTTGTCCTCATATTTCTGAAAACCTTTACACCTGCTATGCAGTTTTCACATCTGCATTAAAGATGTTTATTGTCTGACCAATCTTGTTGCCAACTGATAGACATTATTTATGCCCATCATTTCTGTTATCATTTTTGAGTTGGAAAAGTATCAATTGTACTTTTAAGTATAAAATAGCGTAAATAGTGGAAGGAAGGACAGGACATTTGTGAAAAATGATTCACTTTTCTGCAAAAGTCTGATCGCTGTGCAGATGAAAAGGACTCACAATGCCTCCTAGTAATAAGGGATTACCACAAAGTGGAACAGACACAAAAAGAGGGAAAAAACAATAACAGAAAAAATATAGCACCATATTTTTCTATTATTTTGTTTTTGTGGGGGGGGGAGCAGCCATCTTTCAAACACCCTTGTCAGGCTTGTGTGAACACAGAGTCCACACAAAGAACTTAAAATGTGTTATCAAAGTCAGTCCCTCTGGGCACACTGCTGCTCTTAGAACAGTTGATATGCTTTTACAATAAATTAAATTCAAGTCAAACCCAGAGTCCAAGTTTAGCAGACATTGTTTATTCTATTTTGCCTCCTTTCCTTTTCCACTTGTGCTGAGACAGAGAGGCTGACAGTTTATTCTTGCACCATCTGAGTTCAGCAGGCTGCATATGGTGATTTTCAAAAAGCTAATGTTTTTGAGCTTGTGCCTTTTTTTTCCCATGTCCAAGCTGTTTTATTGTGTAGAGCTGTGACTTTCCTTTCAGATAACTAATATTGTATTGCTTACATTAAGTTTCCTTTAACCACAAAAGGTTTTTTTCAAAGAACTGTTTTTGATAATAGTAATTTAATAAAACACATTCAATCAAATAAGTTACAAATTGTTTTAAGTCATTTGTTTAAAATAAAAAATGTAGATGAAGTGTGAAAAAGAAGAAGTATTGCAATATCCCAGTATGCTCTGTGGTCTTGCATCAGATACTTTTTCTGTGCATTGGGTGTGGCAAAGTGCTTTGAGGGATCTGCCTTTTTATGGCACATCCCTTTGGCTGCTCAGTGGGGATTTGGCTTTATGTGGAGCCATTGCTAAAGAGTGTGGTATTTTGTAAGGATTCGCCTTCATGCTGAAGGAGAACACTAGTGCCTGAGGAGATTGATTAGTGCTGATAATGTGCCTGGGCTGCACCACTTTTATGTTGAAGGTAAGGGCCAAGATATTATTGACATTAAAACTTTGTTTCCCCAGGAATAGATTTTTTAGAAAGTTTTTTGGGGGTGGGGGGTATTTTCACAGGATTTTTAACATTTTCTACACCTTACAGGGCTGGACTGGCCATCTGGCATTCTCCCAGGAGGCCTACATGCCTTTT